ATGGTTGGGGGTGCTGAGGATGAGGATGGTGGGGGTGCTGAGGATGAGGATGGTGGGGGTGCTGAGGAGAGGATGGTGGGGGTGCTGAGGATGAGGATGGTGGGGGGGGGTGCTGAGGATGCTGTGGGGCACTGCTCAGGATATTCTGCTACAGGGTAAGAGCATTTCAGTACAACCCAGATGGGAAACACTGAGTGTACAGCAGCATAGGTTGTCTCTATCATCCATCATGGTGAGCTGAGAAGTCACCAGATTACTCACAGCTTTTCTTATCCATGGCTCCGGCCTCCCTCATTCACACCATTCTCTGTTGGGAATGCCTTCTCCCGAATTATTTCTGTGGTTCCTTTCAAATTCTCTGCTCGAAAACGAGCTCATTTTCTTTTATCCCCAAACAAGAGACAAGCTAACATGTGGGCTTTGCAAAGTTTTATTCCTCTTTTTCTCTCGACACTCATCACATTTTGCCTCAAACATCTGTGTGTGTTTTAATCTCCTGTATCGTGAATCTGTAATGGCCAGAGATCACATCTCATGCTCGGATTCTCCTCCACTGTCAAATTAAGAGCAGGACAGTCCTTAAGCAACTCCACAGCTGAAGGAATGCTCACCACTATCCACTCAATGTTCCTTCACTAAGGGACAGCTTGCTGAAGAAAAGCATTTGAAGAGCATGCTGGAATTAGGCACAATCATGAGTCGGTTATTCCTCAGTGTCCTCAGCAGCTCTCCCCTATCAGCTAACCACACTATGCTAAAATATGGGCTGAGCTAGCAGCACCTTTAAGGCCGGATATTCACCCTGGAGCATTCATTAATCCACAAAGGAGATACAACTGGAGCCTTGGCGCCAAGGACTGGTACCACCATACCTAGAGAGGCAACCCAGCATCTCAATCCAGGACAAGACTATGTAAGTCAAAGCGCTTCCAATTCATGAAAATACAGCATAACTGACAGTAGTTAGGTTAGCCCAACGGCTCAGTGCAAAGGTGTTTAAGGCAGAGAGACCGAGCGCCATACCTGAATGTTCACATCGGCCCCATTGTTCACTAACAGTTCCAGACACAGAGCACCATGAGTGGACGCCGCTGCGAAGTGCAGAGGGGTGAAGCCACTGTTGTTGGGCTGGTTCACGTTAGCACCGTAGTCGGTCAGCTCATTAACGACAGCATCCTGGCCATTGTAGCAGGCAATGTGAAGCGCTGTGTTTCCATAGACATTGATTTCATCAATCTGCAAAGCATCCAACAAGGGCAGTTAAAAGCACTGGAGCCAATTTACTCCATTTGCCACAAAAGGCCTAATGGCTCTGGTGAGAGAAAGGAAATATCCACCCATCAGCGTAATTATTCAGAGATCACTTGCTCTCCAGCGGGTTATCCTGAGAGCACCTATACCCCCAGCCCCCGCCCTCTGGGGAAAGAGAAGTGAAATTGAATATGACAAAACAAACAAACAAAAGAGCCACAAGGTTGTTAGAGGTTTCAGCCTGTGGAGGGTTTATCCAGATCTGATGGATAAAGAAAACGGAAAGCAAAGAGCCTTTCACAATGCTAGAAAAGAAAAGGGCAAACTCCAACTCATGGGCTTGGGAACTGTGACCATTAAGCGAGAGGACAGGGATAGCAAGACAGTGGCTTGTGGACACAGTGTCCTCAAGTCAGGCTCAGAATCCATTCTGCCTGACACTTCACCAGGCTCGTCTTCCTGTAGAGAAGAGGTATGCTAGTCCATGGCTCCCTACTGCTTTCCCAGACATGCTCAAGGATCTGGATGTTAGCATCTTGTCTCACACAGCACTTGACTCCCCTTTCCTCCGGGAGAAAGATGCCCTGAGCATTACTGCTCCCAGCTGAAGAAGGTGGCCAACAGTTCAAGCTCATCATCGACATTTCTTATACAACCCCTGGCATCCATTTACTCCCTCCTGCTGTGAGCCACAACTTCCAAGGTCCACTCCAATGGGCCTTTTAAAATGACTGATTATTATAAATTACATAAAATATAAATGTTTCCTGGGAGGTGCATGAGGCCAGCCTACAGAGCAAGTTCTAGGACAGCCAGGGTTACAGAGAAATCTGCCTCAAAAAACCAAAACCAAACCAAAACAAACCAAAACAAAATAAAAAAGAAGAAATATAAATGTTTATATACTTCTCTACATCTATAGTCTGTTTCTAGTTTCCTGCTGTTTGTCCCTATCACACTTTATCAGCTCAGATAAACTAAGAAATACATGTTCCAAGGAAGTAAATTTTTCTCCACTTGAACAAAAATGCAAAGAGGATTTTACTACAGAGTGGAAGAAAACCCAGACAGAAAGACGTGAACCGACAGCAGTGCGGCCATCAGAGCTTACCTCCACCCCCAGGTTCAGGAGATGTTTGACAACGCTGATCTGACCGTTGGAGGCTGCAGCGTGCAGCGGGGTGTAGCCCTTCTTATCCTTGCAGGTGACTTCTGCACCGTGGTTAATGAGCATCACCACAATGTCCAGGTGGCCTTGATGAATAAAGCAGCAAAAATATACAACTCACCACAAGAAAGATCATTCTTAACTGCTTTTACCACCAGTATTTTCCTGATCCATTTAAAAAAAAAAAAAAGCTGCCTCATGGAAAATAATCAATGAGCATTTATTGAGTACTGACTATACGCGGACATTATGTAAATCCCATGGGAAGAAACAGATGATTCATACATAAGAGTTGAATGAGATGTAGCAAAGCTGGTAGCTGTTCCCCATGATAACAAACAAGAACCAGATACTAACAATATATTAGAAGCTCCGCCTCTTAAAAGTTGTATTGGTGTTGAGTATGGAATCGCAGCATTTGGGTGAAAAGGCAAGCAAGTTACAAGTTCAGAGACAGCATGGGCTACAGATTGAATTCCAGACCAGCCTAGATGACTTAGCAAGAGCCTTCAAACAAACACAGTAAGAACAACAAGAGTTATGTTAAAATGAAAACAATTACCATCCTCACCAAAAAAAAAAGCCTAGCAGTAAAAATTTAATTTAGAAAACCAAGTTTTTTAAAAATCAGAATACTTACAGATTACTGTTAAATCCAAAATTATCACTGCCTTGTTGAGTTTTAATACATAAAAAGGCAATTTTTTATGTTGCTATGTAAAATAACTCCCATAAACTGTTCACTAAATAGAAACTGTTCCTAATCTGGGCTTTTGTAGGCATTTGAGCTCTGTCCCCTAGTTCACTATGATATATGTGTTTGCCCTTTATTTTATAATTGAAGACTGTTCAAAGCTTAAGTTCATTGCTATAAATGAAGCAGCTAACTGAAGGGCCCGAGACAAATACTGATTCCAGGACCTACAATGTGTATGTAGCTGAGGCTGAGGGGGTGGAGGTATAGGTTGCTTTATCAAAATTTGATTTTTTCATCTACAAAACCTTGTATATATAAAAATATTTTCAGTTATATGGTGCTGTCTCAAGCTACCTGTCCCAGTTTTTAATCCCCTATCTCCTAAGGATTATATGTCATCCTATTTGTAACCTGATGGCATGAGCAATAATGATTTGACTTCTTTGGGTCACAAAAATATTTTAACTATACATCAGCAGCCCCAGGTTCTTTGAGTAGTTCTCTGTATAATTGTGCCCAAAGATGTAACTGGTGTTAGCCTACTCAAAGGTCTGTGTTACTCAAGAATGAAAGAAGGGCAGGTATGGTGGCACATACCTGGAATTCCAGCACTTGGAAGGAAGGAGGATCAGTTCAAGGTCCTTTCCTACACAGGGAGTTAATTCTTACAAAGTTTAAAGATTTTTGGCATCTGTAAGTCTAAGAATTCCTTCATATACCTGCAGCAGTGGGATTTGTTTTATTCTCACCCCAATCTACTCCTTTCCCCCTACAATTAATGTTAATTTTTGAAATGATGAGAACAGAAATGTATGCTTATGAAACTGACTCAAATGAGCAAAAATGCTCAAAACAAACAAACAGAGGAAAATAAAAAAAACAATCACTAATCTCCGGAGATATCATCTAGTAGTTCAGTATTTATTTTCCAAATTTTCCTTCATTTCATAGAAGCTTCCACAGGAAAAAAAAAATATATATATATATATATACACACACACAGATACATATACTATATATATTGATTCATCTTTCATGCCTGCATTGAGGACAAACTCTGAGAACTATCATTTGTCCAAGGTCTTTGCACCAATCAAAACGAAAGGACAAAATAGAAATGCAACCTTTTCAGTTCTGGGGGTGAAGTGGACAGAGGGGAGCCTGATCTACTGGGGTCCTCCATGTCCATATACAGAGGAGCCAGGAAGCTGCCCTCTCTTCCTTCCCTTTGTTTCTTTCAAAAATATTTAGAAGCTCAAAGATAAAGAGCGCAGTGTCCTTGCTTTGTTAGCCAGCCTGCTTTCTTTCCTAAACACTTTATTTGATGCCATAACAAACTAACATACAAGCAGTGTTTGTAGCTTTCAAATCCAGAGTGAAGAATGTTCAGAGAGGTCCAGGCCATGAGTCATCCTCCCCTCTCTTTTGGGATAAATAAACCTCTGACAAGGCAAGAGTCCAACTAGAGCACTTCACAGATGCCAGATGCCAGGAAAATGGGCCAAATCTTCATTCAAGTGAAATCCAACACTTAAGTCAGACTTGTCTTACATGGCCAACACGAGGCCCATGTGCAGTTAAGGTCATCTGTCTGTGGTCTTTAGTTGTTTGATATGTTGGGATCAAAACCAAGATCTTGTGCACAGTAGGCACTCACCCTACCATTGAGGTAGCAAAGACCCAGACACTTTGCTTTCCACACACAGAATCCTCACCCATGTATGCTGCCCAGTGGAGAGCACGTCGGTCCTTCTTGTCAAATGCATTGATGTTTGCCCCTTTGGCCAAGAGTAAATTGACCATCTGAAAGATAACAAACAATGAAATCAGGTGTTCCTTCCAGTGATGATGGCTCCTTGTTGCTTGCCGGTGGTGGTCTAAACCAAATTAGCATCAAGCCTAACAGCAGCTCAGGGATTCAGACTAGGAAGACAGGCTAGAAAGATAGGCCCACTGCTCATGTCAAGGGAGAAGACTGAAATGACAGCCTACTGTTTCAACTCATTATGGTCTGAATTTGAGAATGTATATAACTCCCCAGGTAACATACCTCTGTTACTCTCACATTCACATAAAGTCTCAACAGTGGTTCTATCTGTAGCTGACTAGGTCTGAGTAGTATGGCCCAGTACCCAATGATGAGAACACTCACCTCCATGTGTCCATTCAGAGCCGCGTGGTGCAAGGCTGTGCGCCCCCCGCGGTCAGAGACATTGACACTGCTCAGTAGGGGAATGATCACTTCTGCACACTTGACAGCCTTATTGGCTGCTGCCACATGGAGGGGGGTCTGCCAATTCTTGTCCCTTGCATTGACATCAGCCGAGTGTTTAATCAATACTTGCACTGCCTCCTACAACAAAAGCAGTTTGCAGGATCACTGACAAATGCCCAGTCAATACTTCCTGTGGGAAAGGTGCTTCTCTGGACACAGGAACTGTAGTGAGACACAGGAACTGTAGTGAGAAAGGAAAGAGTGCTGCCCTTCCAGGCAGGCTGTGGACAACCCAAGCCATATGAGGTAGAGATGTGAAGAGTAACACAGAATGAGCCAATCGCTCTGTCTTGCTCTTTCAAGTCAAGAGCCTGGCCCACATCTAAAGTTAAGTTCACCTTCTAAAGACACAGTTTTCTGATAAGGCATCCGTGGATCGCCTGAGGGCAGTCATGTGCAGACATGCAGATCAGGTTAAAGATATGTAAAAAAACTTATACAAAAATGTCCTCTAAAAGGAGAAGAGTCTAGGAATAAATAAGTCAACAAACTCCTAAAGCCTGTCAAACATTCTTGAACTTCTTTTTGAATCTAGGTTCTCCGCGCCAACGTGTAACACATGACCTACCATCTTGTGAGACTGATATGCAGTCAAAGGAAGAAATTAATGACTGTCTCAGTTTAAAGCTATAATAAAATGATTCCAACTTTTCCATTACAATTAGTAAACCTTTTCTGTTTTGGCTTGGTTTTCCATTTGTTTTGAAACAAGATCTCAGAAAGTTGTCCCAGGATAGCTTGGAACTTTCAATGTAACCCAGATTGTCCCTAAACCCACGATCCTCCCATCTAAGCCTCTTGTGTGATAAGATCATGGGTGTGCACCACCAAGCCTGGCTATAATGAGCAACTTCTTTTGCTGTTCTGTTTTTTTTTTTTACACAATTGTTTAGACTTTTGAATTCTATTTCCTTTCCTTGACCCAACTAGCTTACCCATTTCTTCATCTATAACTTTCAGCTATACTTATATTATGGAATCAAGATGTCTGGGCCCACTCAAGACTATTAGATTCCAGCATTTCTTTATACCTCCTGTTCAGTCAAGTGACTTATATAGATCCTTTCGAGAAGAGAATATCTACTGATTGCTTCTCTCTTCTTCCAGAGGCTACCCCAGAATTCATTAGTAGCATTATTCAAGGATGTCTTGTCATTGTGGCATCAGTGAACTGGTGAAAGGCATCAGTACCACACTATTGCTCACCTACACATGAAACACTGCGAGAACTACAAAGATCCAGAGAAATTAATTTGGCACTAGCCTAAAAATGATTGAAAGAACAAAAATAAACAGAAGAACATTTAAATCACAACATAACAGATAAATCATAATATGATATTGTAGAATAAGAGGACACTTTAATCTATGTTGGTCTGATAAGTTCTGAAGTCTATTTTAATGCAGCAACAGTCTATTGTGATATGGGATGGTAGTGCTGGAATTTCCGCTTGTTGCTGCTATTTACCTCAAGGTTGGCCCTTGGCTCTTCCCTCCCTTACATAGAGAAATCCTCGGGAAGAATGGGGCTTCTACAGTACTAAAGAATCCAGGCTCACCCTCTCATCTATTCCGTCTGACTGCGACTCAGTGCACAGTGATGACCAAAAGTGCACTTCCAGATTCTAATGTGTACCTTTAAATTAAGAGCCCTAAAACTCCCCAGATCTAGTGGCACACAGGACTGAAATCTCAGCTATTTGGAAAGCTAAGGCAGGGGGACTGCAGTTTGAGCTACAGACATTTAATAAGACACCATCTTAATAAGAAAAGTTAAAGGGGGTTTAGGGATTGTGGTAGTTTCAATAAAAATGGTCCCATCAGCTCATAGGGATTAGGAGGTGTGGCCTTGTTGGAATAAGTGTAGCATTATTGGAGGAAATGTATCACTGGAAATGGGCTTTGAAGTCTCAGATACTCAGGTCAGGCCTACTGTAAGTATCTCTTCTTGCTGCCTGCAGATCCAGATGTAGAACTCTCAGCTACCTCTCCACCACATCTGCCACACACACCACTATGCTTCCTGCCATGACAGTAATGGACTAAACCTCTGAACTGTAAGAAAGCTCCAATTAAATGTTTTCCTTTGTAAGGGGTGATCACAGAGTCTCTTCACAGCCATAGAAACCTGACTAAGACAGGGATATAGCTTATTGACAGAATGCTTGTCTAGTGTATGAGGCCCTAGGCTTAATCCTCAATATTGGGGGATTGAGGAAGAGGTCCATGCAAAGTACCCAAGAACCAGAGATAACAATAGTAACAGAGTAAGTATAGTCCCAGCACTGAAGCTTCTTATAGCTCTAGGGAAAAAGCTTTACACCATTGGTATTTGGGGGTAAAAAGCAGTGATAGGTTTAATCAGCTCTGACAAGAACATGGCCAAGGCAGAGAAAAACCATTAAGAAGACTGTTACCTTCACAGTTGTGTAAGCAAAAGATAAATAAAATATCCCACCCTGGATATACATGCTATTTTGTGTATCTATAACTTAAATATAAATGAGATAACACTATTTTGAAGATGTGTGCCACAAAAATGTTTTGCAGATATAGGACATGAAATGGTAGCACCCACTTCTCACATTCACAGCAAAGCAATAATACATACTGTCACTTGAACATCTTCGCCTTAGTTCAGTGTTATTTCACTGTGCTTGTGTGGGTTCTTGCTTCTGTTAGGTGTTATGTGAATTTAGGATAGATAAACAAAATGAAATATGCAAGATCATTTCACAAGCTTATTCTGTTGGGAGTTAAGACTAGAGAATTCTTGAGAAATGTATAATTGAAAGTTAATCAAATATAATTATCATTTTTTTCCTCTCAGTGCTAGAGATCAAACACAGAATCTGTATGCTAAACCACTGTCCTACCAGCATCAATATTCTCAGCATAAAATGTGTGATTATTAACATAATACAGAGGAAGTGAGTAAGACATAGCCTAGATACATCTAAATAAATGCTTAAGAATAATTCACAATTCACTTATTCAAGGCAATATGCTAAGCAAAGATCATATAGAGTTATATGCAAGTGATATTTGCATATAAATAAGTGCTTTTTGTTTGGGAGGCTGGAAGATCTTGAATTCAAGGCCTATGCCGTAATCACTATCTTTAAAGTATTTTAACCATATACATACTGCGTCTTGTTTTTGTAAAAACTATTTGAGGGGGACACAGTCCATCTTTCAAAGTGTCCATGCCTGTTTTCATGATACCACAGCTGAGCTGAGAAGCTGAGGTGGGGAACTACTGTGGAGGAATCTTATCCAGCAACAAGGCTGCTTTGACCACATCCAAAGATCTTCTAGATTTATGGGACCCAGCTGGAATGTTGACTGGCCCTTAGTACACACCTTTAATCTCTCTGGCTGGAATCCTTTAGTATACACCTTTAACCCCAAACAGTGACATCTAATTGAGGGGCAGATAAAGTGACGAATCAGAGAAAGAACTGACAGAATGAGTCAGAGATAGGATACACCCAACTCTCAGGAGAACGTCTATGTAAGAGCAGCACAGGGAGAGAGTCAGTTGGGAGTCAGTGCAGTGAGTACAGTGGAGCTGAGCTCATTCCTGAGTCCATGCAGTGCAGCGCAGCACAGCAGACATGCAGTGCAGCGCAGCAGAGGCAGCTGAAGCCAGAGGATGAGAAGGAGCCAGAAGATTAGAACAAATTACCACTTAGTTTGAGGACAAGCAGAGCAATTCAGTGAGAAGCTGAGAGAAGCCAGATTGAATCAGTCACTTGGAGAAGAGTTTGAGGCAGAACAGCTGAGTTGAACTAGCCAGCCAGAGCTCAGAAAGAACTAGCAAGGGTGAGCTTATTCAGCAGTAAGCCTCCAGATGAGTAAAAGTTACTTTTACAAACTGCAAAGGTGAACACACTATCTAGTCTTTTGCATAAAAAGTTTAAAGACCTCTGTGGGACTACGTAAGGGTATCCTGGATCATGGTGGAACAGGTGCCTAGAACCCCGAGACTCTGTAGATTCTAGGTGGGATTCTACATGAGAACCGGCAGGAGTTCGGCACCCCCCAGAACCCAGGATCCTGAAAAAGCAGTCACAGTCTCCATAGAATTACATAGGCCAGGCTATAGGCCTCAGCCCCTAGGGATTTACATACTAATGAAGGCCAGAGGGCAGAGCAAATTAAACATGCCTCCCCCAGATCCTCCCCCAATCCTCCCCCTTTCTCCCTCCCTATATAACTCGGGACTGCCCTGAGTTTTGGGGGGTACACCTAGATCCATCTATTATCCGCCATGACAATAAACCTTTTTGGAACCAAGGACTTTCTCGTGTTATTGGGGCCTGTCGTCACCAAGGCCCCCAGGCCACTGGAACTATAGAGTTCCCCCACCCCGAATGTGGGACCCACCACAGACAGGGGTGGAAGCCCCTCCGGGGCCACCGCGCCGCTGTGGTGGCCTTTTAAATTTTCCCCACAGACCTCCAGAATAGCCATCCCATGCTTTGAATGATCAGAAACTGAAAATCATCAAGACTGGTTAAAGTTTTATTTGCTGGGAAAATGTTGCTTATGATTAAGGTTCCTCCTAAGGAGGAATCGTGCTGAAAGTCAGAGGTCTCCATGTGAAGTAAGGCCCTGGTTATGCAGTGAAGGGTCAGTTTTTAATTTGATGAAGGATGAACAGAGCTTCAATGTTTGCATAGTGAGTAGGAAGCCCTAGTGTGCACCAGGGATGAAGATGTAAGGATGTGAGCCATGTGTGCTGGGGAGAGGTGAATGCCAGTGCCTAAAAGCAAACCTTCAAAAGCATATACATCAATGAGACAAATTCAGGGAATACAAGCAGCAACCCAAATCTACCCAAATCTTTGAAATCACCAAGAGAATGCTAGACTTATACAAGATGAGGCATGTGGTCCTTACATAATCTTTATCAGCTCTGAATCCAAGGCAATCATGACTGACATTGGGCTGCAGTTCAAGAGTTCATATTTATTATCATACAAGGTTAATGTACATGGCATGATATCTCTTTCCTCTGAACTTTTCCCATGTGACTGCAAATGTCACCACACTGGCCTTTTATGCCCAACTCT